AAGAGATCACCCTGTGCAAAGGCCAGGAAAAACCAGCTGGTGAATCACCTGGGATTAGGGTCACCACAGCGGTGGAGCAAAGCTAGAACTGCTGGCCTCCAGCCTGCCCTCAGTCTAGGGGAAGGGGGCTGACTGGCAGAGTAGGACCCCAGGGCTGTCTGCGTGGGGTGGTGAGCCAGACTCAGGAAGCTGTCAAGGATGAGTGAAGGAGGCCTGCAGATGGCGGTGAGCAGGCCAGAGTTTGCCCTTCTTTGCCTTCTCTTTCATCACAGTGCAAAAGCCCAGGCTCTGAAAGCCACTTCCCTCCCTCTCTCCATTTGTGCCCCTGCCCCAGCCAGCTCCTTCACCCCTTGAGTCCTGCACAATATCAACAGCCCCTCCCCATGGCTCAGGCCCCGAAGATGCAAGACACTGGAGGAGCACAGGGTCTTCTCCAGAGTCTAGGGCAGAGTATTTGTGCTGGGTAGCGACAGTCAGATGGAGTGGGATAGGGGTCTGGGTAGGCTCCCCGAGCAGCAGAGCCTGTGGGCCTCTGCAGGGTCAATGGCCTGCCTTATTTTTTGGAAGCTTCAGAGTTCTTGGGAGGTGGGCAAGCCCAGGTGGGCACAGCCCCACAGCCTGACTCCTGGGCCTAGCTGGCTGATGCGGCGCATGGCCTGGGCTGCAGCTGCCAGCTGCGTGGGCACCACCTCTCTCCTCCTCTATGTCCATGGCCAGCTGCTCAGAGTCTGTTCACCACAGAATATTTTTAGCTGGCGGTTCCTGCTCACAGTCGAGTGTCCACCCTTAAATATTTTATTAAGTTCCTCTTTATTGAGCATAGGCCTGTGCCCCTTAGAAACAGAAAGGTGATACTATGGGTGTCCCCAGGTCCTTGGGGCTGCCCCTCCTTCCCCCTCTTCCTCTCATGACCTGAGATCCTCCACCTCTGTCTCTGTGCTGTTATAAGCATTCTCTCCCAGAACACCCCAAACTGTCTCCCTAGGCCCTCATCCTACCTCTGTGTCCTTTATCTCTGACCTGTTCCACCCCTGGGTTTGCTTCCTGGCCTGCCTGCACCAGCCCCATCACACCTGTCTTTGCTCCAGTTTGGCGAGTTTCTTTCCGCCTCAGTGTTGCCTCTTTGTCTCCTTGCTCCTTCCAGCCTCCCTTTTGAAGAGGCCTTTCCCCTCACCCTTATTCCAGAACACTCCTGAGTCAGCTGCTCCCTGTCACAAGACTGTATTTTCTCCTGCTGGGCAGACTGGGAGAGAATTAGATTTAGCTGCCATGGCCTCAGCATCTGGCCGGTGGTAGGTGCTGTACACACGCTCCAAGAACAAACTGGTGGACGTGCAAAGGGATCCAGAGGAGGAAGGTGGTCAGGTTGCAGGAGGCTGATGAGACTGGCCCCGGCCTGCCAGGTCCCCTTTCCACCCTCTGGTTGGGCTGCACACAGCCCTGGGGCTAGCAGCAGGGCCTCGGCTTCTCTGTTCTCTCCTAGCCATGGCAGAGGCAGCAGTGATGCGGAACTCTGAAGGCTGTGCTGGGCTTGCTGGCAAAAGTAGAACAAAACTTGGTGGGTGGAGTTGGGAGCCCCTGCTACCCCAGAGCTCAGCCCAGCTGCTGACTTCTGCTTCCCACCCCCATAGGTGTTCCGCAGCGGGGAGGGCATGGGCATCCGCCTTGACAACGCTTCTGCCTTCCAAGGAGCTGTCATCTCACCCCACTACGACTCCCTCCTGGTCAAAGTCATCGCCCATGGCAAAGACCATCCCACAGCTGCCACCAAGATGAGCCGAGCCCTCGCCGAGTTCAGAGTCCGAGGTGTGAAGGTGAGAGGCCACTGCCCCCATCTGTCCTCGTCCCTGACCCACCATCATTTACATCCTTGTCAAGGGACTGATGTGGCTCTATGCATTTTGCTTGTGGCTTTGTCTTGGTCAAGGTAGGTAGTTCCTTGGCCTCAGTGGCATGGTGGGCTCTCCTGGTCCATTCACCAGGGCCCACTCAGGCCTTGGTGTCTGTAATCTGGCTAGGCCCCTCCTCAGATGCTTAGTTCCTACCCAAAGGCCTACCACCTGGTGGCTTGCTTGGGGAGATCCACCTTATTTCCTCGCTATCCATTGCATCTATTCAAGGCCACTGTGTCTCTTCTGGAAGCTCAGACCCCTCAGGTTTGAGCAGTGGCCTGCACTTTGCACAGGCTCCCCAGGACTTTCTTAGGCTCCCTTAGTGAGAGCCCCAACCTGTGTAGATGAGTGATGAGGTCAGATCCTCCTGCCAGTCTCCGCCCTTACCTGGCTTGGTGTCAGCAGAACAGGATTTGCACCAGGGACAGCCAAGGAGTGTGGTTGCATTAGGGAGGGGACAAGGGACTGGCCCCATGTCCCTGCCCTCAGGGTTTTTAGTTTCCGGGGGTGCTGTGACCTTCCCTTGCATGGCTGGCCCTCCTCTGGCTGGTGGTAGCTGGAGGGAAAATCTGAAATGCGCACCACCTACCTCCTCGTTGGGCTCCATTGGTTACTGGTGTCTGTAGCTAGAGGAATTCACAGCCAAGAAGTACCATCTTGTCCTCTGAACAGGCAGCACCTGCCTACGTATCCTGTAGGCATCACCATCAGCTTGGGGACAGCCGTTCAGGCCATCAGCTGCTGTGGGAGTCCCTCCTTCCTCTTCCCCAGCCCACACTGACTGTTGCTATGTGTGGCCTCACCCTCCCCACAGCTTCTTCCGGCTCTACCTGTTGCTGAGGCTCAGCTGGTGTGTTAGGCTCTGGCAGTGCTGTCCTTCAGGACCCCGCACTTATCCCTCCCACCTGTCCATAGGCTGTATGGAAGTCTGGAAGGGGCTGAAGAGGGCACGGGAAGCATGGGGAGGAGGGCCGGCAGGAGTGCTTCCGAGCTTGTGAGCTGCGCAGGCCCAGCCTGTCTTCCCACTCACTGGGGGTCTGCACCCTTCTGTGGGAAGCCACATGGGCTCCCTGTCTGGAGCTGAGGCATCCTACACTTGAAATGGAGGTCATGCTGTTCACTCCCAGCGCTCTGTGCTTGGCTTTCCTGGCTGGGTGTCCTGTGCCTGGAGTCGGAGGGCTTGTGTGGCAACACACACCATGACAATATATGGGGGTGACCGGGCTCCCCTGTCCTGGTTGTTGTCTTGCTGGTGACCCTGGCTGCACCCTGTGACTGTGTCCTGATGGTTCTGCTTCCTTGTCACCCTCGGTACCTCGTTCCGGAGGGCCATAGGGCCTCACCGTTGTCCTACACCCCAGCAGGCCCAGGGATACCTAGGTGGATCAAGTGACCATGAACGGCAGCAGGATGAGGGTTTTTGGTTTCTGGGCGTGCTGTGACCTTCCCAAATGTGCACCAGGCCAGGTTGCTGGTTCCTGGCACACCCTGAACTTCCTGCTAATGCTGGCTCTCCAGTCTTGTGCTCCTGTCCCCCTCCCACACTGCCTGTCCTCTTTCCTCCCTCCCTCTTAGCCACATGACACCCCTGCTCCCTCTCAGCTCTGCTGAGGGTTAGGCACATCTAGGAACTTTATGAAAATATAAAAAGCAGGGCTGGCCAAATAGCTGAGTGGATTAAAGTGCCTGCAAGCAGGCGCAGGGGCCAGGGGTTTGATTCCCAGGCCTGCCGTGCCAGCCCCACCCCCAGGGTGGGCTGAGACGGCTATTGAAACTGGGCCTGTTGGCCTGTGCCTGTAATCCCAGCTCTTGGGAGGCTGTAAACAGGAGGATCACTGCAAGTCTGAGCTAGTACTGAGACCCTGAACACCCTATAGACCCTTCCCTAAAAAAAAAGAAAAACAAAAAGCAGACACTGGCATCCCAGGGTGGCAGCCTGACACACTGGTGTTTCTCCACGAGGGAAAAACAATTCTGGTGGACAGTGGGGGAGGCTGGTGTTCTACTGTATGTGCACAAGTATGTAAGCCAAGCCTACACACATGCACCTCCCTCTCAGCCCCAGAACACACATGGGTCTGTGACCAAGAGAGATGCTGGTGTAAGTAAATAGAAACAAAGTCCCCAGTAGAAATGAGGAAAGGAGGAGCCCTGTGTCTGGGAGAGATCACTCACAGGGGACTCCTGACCCATCAGAACTGGGGGGATGTTCAGAAAGCCCACGACCTGATTTAATGAATTGTCAGGGCCTGGTCCCAGCAGAGGGAGCAGGGCAGTGGGCCCTGGCCTGTCTGACTGTTGGGATGAGGACGAAAGGGGGAAGAGAGGCTGTGCACACACTGCAGCCAGCCACCTCCCTGCAACAAGGGCAGGTTGGAGCCTTTTTTCCAGGAAAGTCCCCTGGCACAGCTGACACAGCTGTGAAGGCCTTCAAGGAACATTGGGGAGTTGAGCTCTCTTGCTAGGCCTAGGGGATGATGGGATGATGGGATGGGGTGAGGAGCTAGGGAGGGGTGGTCTTAGAGTAACAGTGGCAGTGGAATTCTCAGCCCTTTAGGGGTGATATTTTAGAAATCCAGGTGCTTCTGGAGATGAATAGGCCTACTGCTAATGGGAGCCATAGTGACATTTTACAGAGCTGTGTTCAGGAGACTGTTACCAGCCAGGTCCCTTTGCCCAGGAGGGCTGTGCCACCAACCACCTTTTCTGGTCACTAAATGTGGTCTTAACTGCTCTCTCTTCAGACTGTCACATGCCAAGTCAAGGAGGTGGGTACTCATGCTCAGCACAGCATACCTGGGCTTCACACACAATGCGCTATGTCCTGTGCTCACTTGCCACACAGGGCATCCTCTGTGCTAGGAATAAGAGCGCGGAAGCTCAGAGAGCTCAGGCGGCTTGCCCAAACTATAGCTACTCCAGGCCGAGACGCCTACTGCCCCAGGCTGTCCCTATAGGGCAGATGCGGTGGACAGGATCCCAGGCTACTAGGGTCACCTCTGCTGGGCCTATCAGCCCCAGCCTTGATGCCTGTGCTGGTTTGTATGCCTCTGCCAGCTCCCTACCCTCCTCTTAGAGAATGAGCAAAACAAAACTCAAGACCGGCACTGAGGTGTCCCCAACAATTTTATTATAAACAGAAACAACACCCCCACTTGGTGGCTGCAGCCCTGCCTTGGTGGCTCTGAGCACCTATCGGAGGGACCTGTCCCTTTACCCCAGTCTGGAGGCCAGAACCAAGGAAAGTTGTTCCCTGTCCCACCAAGTCACGGGGAGCCTGAGGTACCGAGGATAAAAACCAGGAGGGGCCCAGGGCAGTGTGGCTTGCCGTGCCAGGCAGCTGCAGCCCTGACCTTCCTGGCCACGCTGCTCATTCCTCAGGGCACAAAGAGAATCGCCCCCTCCCATCACACCACACTCTCTTCCAGCTGCTCAGCACTGCCCCCCAGGCCTCGGCACCCTGCTGCCAGCAGCCCCCCATGCACAGAGTGGCTCCGCCGGGCCCAGGCCCCTCCCAGGCGTCTGGCATAGCCGTAGCACCCAGCATCTCCCAGGTCCAGGGAGCAGCTGCGCTGGGGGCGAGGTGGGGGGCTCCGTGGTGGGTGGGGCTTGGGTGTAGGGCTGGGCCCTCCATTGGTCTGGGATTGGACATGGCTGAGCTTAAGGGGGAGGCGGCCATTCCCTGCTCCCCGGCCCCGAACCAGCAAGGCCACAGTGAAGACCAGTAAGGCAGCCACCAGCACACCCCCCACGGCCACAGTCAAGGTCCCGCCCAACACGTGGGCCTGTAGGGCATGGCACAGGGGTGTGGCCGGCAGTGTGGAAAAGTGGGCACAGCCCAGTAGCCTGGTGGCTGTGAGGTCGGAGGGCCCAGCAACAGGTGACAGGGCCAACAAGCAGAGATCGTAGTCAGCACCGGGTACCAGATGCTTCAACAGGAAGTGATGGCTGGAGGCTGGGACGATCCTGCAGGCAAGGGCAGGTGGTAAGAGCCCCAGTGTTGGTGTCCAGCCCTCACTCCCATCTCCCCAAGGCAGGACCTCAGCCCATTCACAGCCCCACACCCCATGCTCCCAGGTCTGACTCTGAGCAGCCCCTCAGGCCAAGAAGATACAGACCTTGTGTGTTCCCCAAGGAAGGCAGAGAAAGGCACATGAGTGGGGTGGGAGGTGCCAAGGGACAGCCAGGGAGAGTGCTGACACCGGCCCCAGGCAAGAAGATGATGTGGGAGGCAATGGCAAAAGCAGAGGCAGAAAAACGTGCCTGTGCTGCTTGGCTGCGCTTCAGACACTAGCCACACTGCCACACCAGCAGGTGGCAAGGGAGGCAGCAGCTATGCCTGAGCCACCTCCTGCCCAGGGCCCACCTGCCCCCCTCTGTGCCCTAGGCAGCCAAACCTGACACTGCTCCCCCTAGAGTTCGGAGGTGAATATGGACCCCCTCAGAGCTGGAAGAGGAGGCAAGCAGGGGGTGGGTTGCAGGGTCAGCTGTGACTAGGACCCAAATGGGGTTGAGCGGTGTGTGCAGGCAGTCTCCTCACCGATAAATGAGGGTCTCGTCCTCACTGCTGTTGTACTGGATTTGGAACATCCACACAGGGTCAGATGGCCGCCCTGGGCCCCAGCTCACCAGCCCTGAGGTGGCTGTCACCTCTGTCACCTGTACAGCCGGCTCAGACTCTAGAATCCCCTCACCCTCTGCAGCAGTTCGAGCTGAGGCAGCAATGTCTGAGGGCCCGGGGCGGCTCCCCTCGGCACTGGTGTTCCCACCATGGGGCAAGGCCAGCACCCGGAGCTCTACTCTGGCAGTAGCCTCACCAGCGGGGTTGGTAGCAATGCAGGTATAGCCTCCTGCGTCCCCAGCACCTGTCACCCCTATCTCCAGGGTCCCATTGGGGAAAGCCCAGGCTCGGGAGGAGTTGCCAACCAGTCGGTCATCAGGGCCAACCCAGTGCATGGTGGGAGCTGGGTCACCAAGAGCACGACATCGCAGTGTAGCTCGCTGGCCCTCCAGCACCCAGAGGCGCTGTGTGTGTCGGGCAATGAGAGGTGGCTCACAAGAGAACTCGCCCTCAGGCACTGCCCAGAAGTAGCGGCCAGCTAGGCCCGCTGGGGAGGCGCAAGTCTCCAGGTCGTCCGGCCGGGCCAGCCGCCGCAGCCATAGGAGCTCACAGTTGCAGTGTAGTGGGTTCCCACTGAAGCTCAGTACCAGGGGTGCAGGCGAGGCCTCAGCATCACGCCCACGAGAGAAGAGTGGGTCGGGTGCCAGGGTGGCCAGGCGGTTGGAGGTGAGGTCGAGGCGGGAGAGCTGCCCAAGCTGGGCAAAGGCGCCCGGGGGCAGTGTGTCAATGACATTGTGGTCCAGGTTGAGGGTATGCAAGACAGGCATGGCACCAATGCCAGCCCAGGGCACCTGCCGGAGATTGTTGTAGGATAGGTCCAGGTCCTCGAGGCTCTCAAGGAAATCATCGAAGGCCCCTGGTGCAATGCGGCTCAGCTGGTTGCCGCTAAGGATGAGGTGCTGCAGGTTGATGGGCCCCCGAAGGCTGCCACTGCCCAGCTCCACCAGCCTGTTGCCATCCAGGTGCAGGGAGCGCAGGCTCTCCAGGTCCCCAAAGGCGCGGGCTCCAATGCGGGTGATGGCATTTCGAGACAGTGTCAGGTCCACCAGCCCTGTCATGTTGCGGAAGTCAGGTGGTCCCAGGGCCTGGATAAAGTTGTCAGCCAACCGCAGCTCCACTGTGCGCCGGTCCACATTGGGTGGCACAAATAGCAGGCCCCGGTGGGCACAGAGGGTGCTGAGTGACTCCGACAGGTTCTGGCAGACACAGGGCAGCGGGCAGGCGGCTGCTCCACTGGCCAGCAGCAGCAGCAAGAGTGGCGGGGCCATGGTGGGCACCCTGTGGGGAAGGGCCGCAGTCCAGGCACAGGTGGGGCTGGCGCAGGTGCCCACTTGTGCCCAGAGCACAGTCCCAGAGCCAGCTTCCAGAGTCTGGCCTGGGGAGAGGTTGGGTTAGAGGCTGAAGGGGAACCCCAGGGAGGGAGGGAAGCTGAGGCTGCAGAGGGAGGCCCCCAAGAATTAAGGTCATATTTCCTAAACATTTACTGGGAGTCCAAGTGCTGGGGACAAGGTGAAGCATGAAGCAGGAAGCGGAGGTGGGCCAAAAGCAGGGAGGGTCCCGGAACTTCCTTTTCCTGGCGTCCCCTGGAATCGCCAGCCCCCTCCCCCCTCGGTGCCATCCCTTCCAATGCCAGGAAAGGTGCCCCCAAAATACCATGCGTGGCCCCTTCCCTGTTACCTCCCCCCTGCACTCCGCGACCCCCTCACCTGGCGTCCGTCGCTCAGGGGGCGCGGGCCGGCCTCTCCGCCGGCCCCACCGGCCCCCGAAGCCCCCGCCGACTCCAGGCCGCGCTCTCGCGGAAGCGAGGCCCAGGCCGCCTGCCTCGCGCTCTCCAGTCCATGGCGCTCGGGCCCACGGCCCTGGCCCGCTCGGTTCCCAGCACCTTTTTCCAGCACGGTTCGCGGTGGTGGTGGCGGCGGCGGCGGCGGTGACAGGCAGGCGGGTGCGCGCTGGCGGGTGCGCGCGCCGTGGACACGCACGTGGAAGGTGGACGGGGAGGGGCGTGCAGGGATCCACCCGGCTGGGCTCAGGCTGGCTCCCGAGGTCACAGGGACACGCGGCCACTGCAGCGCCCACGGGTGGCGCCCAGTCACGCCCGAGGCCCAGGCTGGCGTGGGCCCGCCATGCCGCCCCTCATTGCTGCCGCAGCGCACTCACCCTGGCACAGGCGCGCGCGCCCCTGGCCACCCTGGCGCCCCGGCATCTTGCACTGCTCGGGCGCCCGCCGCCGCGGCGCAAACCTCACTGCAGACCAGACAAAGCGCCAGCTCGCGGGTCCCTTCACCGTCTCCCAGAGACGGGTCTTTGTCACATGTCGCTGGGCACCCTCCCCAACACGCCCACATATGCCCACGCACCCACACACGTCCCCGCACCCACGGGCAGGGCCGGGCGTAAACCCGTACAGTTGCTGGGACCCTCTCGTTCACAAACACTCACTGAAGGTCATAACCGTTCTGCATCACCGAGTCACGTGGAGGGTCCCCAACAGGCACAGGCCCTTGGGGGGGGCGCCCCCAGTGAGGCTGCAGCGGGGTGGGGCCGAAGGGGGTTGGCCTCTATGCTGGTGGTGCGCCCCGCCCCTCTCCCCTCCCTCCATGGGCCCCACCCCCACCCCTTCCCGCCCTGCTTGTCCAGCGCTTCTGAGCCAACCGGCCTCCGCCTCGGGCCAGATTGGTCTGCGCCGCGCCGTTTCCCAGCAGGCCGGTGGTGGCACGCTGTTTGAAGCTGTGCGTCAGTGGTTCTCTCAGCGGCCCAGCCCCGCCCTCCTTCTCTGCTTTCTGGGGCCAAGTTCCTGGGGAGCGCAGTCCTGGCCGGTCCTGGGTGGTCTCAGAGCTGAGGCTTGGGTGGAAGCACAGAGGAGTCCCAGACAGATCGATCACCCTGATCGCACCTGCCACCACGAGTGGTCCCTTGAGTTAGGAATCTCAGAAAGTCGACACTGCTCACGGGCGTGTCCTTGTACTCAGGTTACCTAGGCGTCTTGTCCGTGCTCCTTTCTCCAGACCTGATTCCCAGAGGCAGGTGGCAGGAACATAGGGAGGAGACCAGAGACTGGATGTTAAGCCTGCCTCGTGGAGTGGGCAGATTTGGGCAAGTCCCTTAACTACTGAAGAAGGGAGTCTGCAGTTTGAGAGGAATAACTACTGGAAACCACACTTACTAGTGCTGTGCCTGGGCCTCAACTGTTGGAATTGTGAAATGAGGGATTCAATCTACTTTGATATGCCCTGGCATTAGATACTTCGTTTCTCTTCTCATAAAAAATATTTCTACTCATTCTGTACATACACTTTTCCAGCATCTGCCATGTACCAGCCTGTGCTATGAGTCAGATAGGCCTAGTTGCTGACCGAGGCAGCTCCCAGCACAGAGAATGACCTCAATACCAAGAGACAAAGCTTGGGTCACCGGGGAGGCCCCTGAGGATCCTTTCCACTCCTGTGCAGCTCTGGGTTCACCAGGCATAAAACTCAGGGCCTCCTGCTTGCCAGGCAGGCACTACACCACTGAGCTACATTCCCAGCCCCTGTAGATTCTTTAGGTAGGTTTTTTACTGGTGGTCTCTTTCTCAGAAGTCATGCCTTCATCCAGCTAAAGTGTCTTTATCTCTTTACTGTGCTTGAGGTGTGGACAAAAATTTACACTGTATGTCATGCATATCTAAGAGCAATATTCATTACTGGTATGTGCTGACATGCAATTTAAAAACAGAAGGTTTAAACACATGGTTTCACATTAGTCACATACTAAGGTGCAGCTAGTCTTAGCCTTGACCCTATGCACCTGAGCTTTTGTTTTGTTTTTGTTTTTGAAAAATAGTCTCTCAGATCAGCTGTGATCTCTGAAGGGCTAGGGCAGGAGCTGGAGGCAGGTACACCTGTAACATCGAGACACCGCTGGCTGGCCCACTGTGCAGTGACCAATGATGGCCTGGAGGGGGTGTGTCCTTACAGTTACCCTACACTGGAAACCTGCACCCCCTACCTCCCCTCAGAACCTATGACCAGCTCAGCCTTTCTCAGAGCAGCATACACAGCATGCCACAGTTGGAGCACATGGGGGCCACAATTGGGGTAATTGGAGCCCTCTGGTGACAGACTCTCTCAAAAGAGTCTGTGTTGGCTCTCAAGTTCCTGCTGAAGGTGCAAAATATAAATCATAACTAGGGGCTGGTGAGATGGCTCAGTGGCCTAAAGCACCTACTGAGAACAAGCTAAACTAAGCAAAAGCACAGCGACCATGGTTCA